GAAGATCATCGAGTCCAGCCCCCCACCCGAAGGGCAGGACATCAGCTGGGCTCATAGGATCCCAGCAAGATAACCATCCAATTTACTCTTATCATTGAATCAGACCATTAAAAAAACCTGTGGGAGAACAAATTAATTTTTTCTCAGGGGCTGAGAAGGTCCTGTTGAAGAGTTGGTTGGGTTGTTTGTTTTTGTTTATAAATCAGGACAAGTTGGCACTCAGGGGCAAGAGTTTCAAAATAACTGTCCCAGGAGTTCATACTTTAATATGCAAACACATTACTTCTCTCTATATACCTTTCTGCAAATTAGTCCACTTGAGTGCTCCTCTTATTCTTGTAACAAACCAGAAAAAGTCACAATCATGGCTTGTTTGTCTTATAGCAGGGGAGGAAGGCGTATGGAGTGTGGTTGTCAACACCATAGAAAGAAAATGGGGTTGTACTGAGGAATTTGTACCAGTACCCCATGTGACCATGTGAGTGCCAGTTAGGAGCACAAAAGTGAAATGGCCCTTTCCATCATAGGAAGAGTAGATACACCAACACATCCCAGTTTCTTTCCAGCACTGTTGATTTTGCTGTGAACACTTGTTAACAATTGCAGTTGCTAGTATGAGTGTGGCATCAGAGTAACTGATGAAAAAAGTTCAGGGCTGATATCAGAATATATTAACAAATTTGCTTCCTTCCAGAAACCAGATGTGAAGCACCAGTTTCCTTGGCAAATGGGAAGGCCTTGTATGAAAACAATACTGTGGGCAGCACAGTGGCTTATCACTGCAACAGAGGATTCAGCTTGGAAGGGGAGCCAAGGGCAGAGTGCACAGGGGGTGGAAGTTGGAGTCATCCCATACCTCTGTGCAAACGTGTGTGTTTGCTTTAGAATGATGATTCTGTCTTATATTTAAGCATGTTTCAATTCTTCATTCAACCCAGTGCTAACTAGGGGTAAATCCCTTAATGTGGGGAAGTTCACCTGGAATTACTGTCATGGGGGCATGAGCAGAATTTGTCCCTACAAGTTAAAAATTATACGGTATGGTTTTCTGTGAAATTTTGCATGTCTCAAGCTAGGTACTCTCTTGTGCCTTTTGGGGACATCCCAACATTCTTGATAAGAAATTGAATAGTCCTGATGCATGTTAAAATACTGGCATTCTCCTGCAAGTGTTCCTGTGAAAATGAAAGAATGACAAATTTCCAGACCCTTGACGAGCCCTGCAGGCTGGATGACATGGCTGGAGGTTGAGTCCTGCTGCTTTAAATAGTTTAAGATATCCACCCTGACAGTCTGACTTTCCATATAAACTCATCCGGCTATACTTTGTCTTAGAGCTCCCGTATTTGCAGGACACTGGCTGGGTCACCTCATTGGTCTTTAACAAACAACCAGTGTGACTAGTTTCATGGAAGAGGCAACAGCCTCTGCTGTAGAGAACACAACAATTCCTCCTTGTGAGTTGTCCTGTTGGAGGTGAGTGGGCCTTCTCCTTTGTGGAAGGCTAGCAGAGATAAGCAGAAAATTAAACAGAAGAGGACTGCAGGTGAACAACAAACTCTTGAATATGTATATATTTCATTTACAGAAGGTAAAGGACAGATTCACTATTGCAGTCCTATGCTTTGCACTGTTCAGTGCCACAAAATACAACGATTCAGTTCTCCTTGACACAAAGGCCCATGTATGTTATTCTGGCAGTGTAGAATCCTTTATATTGGCCTAGGTAAAATCCTCACCATATTCAGATTGAAGATAGTTCTTCCACCAACTTCAGCAGAGACATGATTTCCCTCCCTTCCCCACATCAAGTGTGGTATAAATTGACGTTATCATAATGGAGAATGGGGCCCTTTAGCAGTATTTCACAACTCTCCTAAATTTATAGCTGTATAAAATGAAATGTATGCAAAGAGTCTACTTGTGCTGACCTTTTAAAGCAGAAATGCTTTAAAAATGTATTTTTATTTTCCCACTTGAACAGCAAATCCTTGCCCTGTACCTTTCATAATCCCTGAGAATGCCCTCCTGTCTGAGGTGGATTTTTACGTTGGTCAGAAAGTATCTATCAGATGCAGGGAGGGCTACCAACTTAGAGGACAAGCTGTGATCACCTGTAACCCAGATGAGACCTGGACACCAACAAAAGCTAAATGTGAAAGTAAGTGTCTGATAAAGACCAGGCTGAGGCACTATTCCCTGAGTACCCTTTGACTTAGTCCTGTGCTGGTGGGTAGCCCAGATGGCAAAGCCCAGTATTACTCTTCTAATGGCAGCTTTTAAGCTGGTTTGACTATTGGGAACAGATAAACAGCACTGAGATATGGCTGCTGTGCTCATTATATACTTTCACTTTTGTGTTTGCTACTAGATGCTATTGAACCCCTAGCCCCTGGCCATACCTTCTTTGTGTTTCCTATGTCCAGTGCTCTGTCAGGTGCAAGAGCAGAGGTCTGTTCGCACTGCTGAGCGCTGCATGCACATCCTCCACACCAGGCAGAACCCTTGCTCCACAGGTGCTGAGTTTTGCTCACCGTGTTCCCCTTGGCAGCCTGGGGCTGACTGCAAGCATGAACCCTAACTAAATGGGGATGTTGGGCACTGTATTGACAATTATTTCCAAGACATCACAGCTTCTGTATCTTTTGTGACTTATGATCTCTCTTCAGGGATTTCTTGTGGCCCCCCTGCTCACATAGAAAATGCACTGGCACGTGGGACTTTTTATCAGTATGGAGACATGATCACCTACTCATGCTACAGTGGCTATATGCTGGAGGGGTCGCTGAGGAGTGTTTGTTTAGAAAATGGAACCTGGACAACACCACCTGCTTGCAAAGGTAAGTCTCTTTAATTAGCTGTGCCCAGCCATGGCACTCTTGAACTGCAGTCCAAGCCTGTAGGCTATGGACAAACAAAAATGTTTAGCTGCTTTAAAAGGGGAAGGAGAGAGGCTGCTACAGAGCGTGCAGACCATCTCTTGCTACCCACAAAAAAACCTGATTTCAGGATGCCAAAAGCAAAACCCTCATTGAGTTCAATGTGCACCAAGTTCACCCACAGTAATAAGTGCAAACTCACTCCTATTCTAAAGTACTGCTTTGCTTCCCTAGGAAAAAAGGTCTTTTCTCCAGCCTTGGTTGTTCCTGGAGTTCTTTACTCAATGATTCTGTATCCTCTGTCTCTCGAGTCAATGACTAGATTCCCTTTCCACCAAGAGTAAAATACACTTGTTATAATCAAGAGAGGGGAGAAGTCACCTGCTAAGAGTGGGGCTCTTCAGACACACACTGCCAGCCTGTGACATTACTACACCTACAGAAAAATTAGCTTTTCATCTTTAAAAGGAAGGTGGCAGATACAAATACTGCCTATCTTGTCATTGTTACTGAGCTCTGAGTGTTTATGAATACTGTCTTCAGGGAGCCATGAAGGGACAAATTGATACAACTTACAGAAAAAATATGCACTGAGCACTAAGGAATCATCACAGCATTAGTGTCACATCATGTCAGGCAGTATAAAAACAAAAGTATAAGAACTAGGTGATCTTTGCTAAGGCCAAGTCTTTCATGGCAAACGTGTGTGTTCTCATGTGTGCACTTGTGTGCCAAAATACCCACATTGTAGCAAATAGTGAAGTAAGGTATTTGCATGCATTCAGCAGTTAGATGTCCACATTCCCATTTATGCTATATTAGCAGTAATTTGCTTGCAACCCGTGTTTGCTTGCGAAGTTGCATATTTGCCTAGGAATCTAGAATCGATGTGTCCAAAAGATTTGAGAAATGATGTTCTTGCAGATGAAGACAGAAATGTCCACTTGAAGAGCTATCACCTGGAAGTTTTGTCAGCACATACATATTTGTGTGTACATATTCATATGTACACATGTGCCTACAATACCTAGATATGTGTATATACTATATACCATACATTAAAAAGTATTTCTCCACTGAGGATTCAGTTTTTACCAACAGTTACTAAAATGTGGTATGCAAGATGTCACAATTCTTCCCTTTCAGTAGAATAAGAAAAAAAACTATGATGACTCGTAGAAAAGGTATGCCTTTTCATGAGTATCACTGTGGTTATGTTTACATGTACATAGGGGACTGGAACTGATGGCCTAGGAGGTCTCTTCCAATCTTCTTTTCTAAATGTGTATCTTTCTTTGTGTGTATATGATAATGCAATGATACAGATGATGATGTACTTCGGCAAGGTATGGTGTTTTGATTAAAATAATTTTTGCTTGATGGATAAGACTGATTTTTCAAATCTTTGTACATAATTTGATTTGCAAAATCTGTTTGTACACAAACTCATCCATGCACGCAAACTGGTAGCTGCAAGGCAAGACAAGGACTCATATACATATTTGCCCTTAGCTGGAATAGGCATTTATCTGTGTGTACAGGTTTACTAGTTGGAGGACCAATCAGTGTGCCAGATTTTGAAAATATAGCCCTTCTGTGTGCAGCCCCCAAGAGTCCATGGCATAATGGACTCTTGCTCTCAGGGCTTGACTCCTGTCCCCAGAAAGCTTCCAGCTGTTGTTTCTCCCCTGCTGACTCACAGGAAGCCAGCACTCCAAATGTCAATCTGAAAATCTGATATGAGTTGTTTACCTTGCTTTGCATACAGTAGATCAAGCACAGCACACCATCTGCATCCTTGATGTTCTGTGCATCAAAATAGCATTCATTTGTGGGTTTGGAGTACCACCTATTCAAAGCTTCCATGTGTACCATATTACAATATTATTAACACAGAAAAAAATCCCAAATAAAAACCTAAAAATCTGTAACAGAAAGGGGAGGAAAACACCCAGAAAAAGTAAAAGCAGCAAGAAATTAAATGATTTAAAATAAAAGAAAAACATCTTTAGTGGTATTTTAAGGAATGCAAAAATAAGAGGTAGCAGTGATCTCCAGAAATGTAGAACCTCATGGAAAAGAGCAAGCCCAAGTCATCCGGCAGTCTTTGGACCTGATTGCAATCTAGTTTCCCCCAGCTGTACAACAGGATAGCTCAGCTTCTTTCCATGCAGTTGCTCCTGATATGCACCAGTATATCTGAGACCTAACACCCGCCCCCTTATCATGACAGTTAGAAAGTCCAATCCCACCTGTCCCAGATCATTAAGAGCAACATGTCCTCCCTAAGATAAACTAGTGCCATGTTATTTATGGAAGTGTGGACTGAAAGCAGAAATCCTGAGGCATGCCCACTGTCACTGAAACAAAGCTCCTGGGACACAAGAGCTGCTGTGTCCAAGACAAGATAGTCTTGTTGATACTGTATTGGTGTTGGAGACCAAAGTTGTGGGCTCAGTTGCCAGCTCTTCCCATAAGTAACTCAGTTCCCTTTTCTGGGTCTCAGTTCTCTATTTGGAAAGTGGAACATAATAGTTCCTTCCTGCCCACCCTTTCTTTAGATTGCTAACTCCTTGGGATAGAAGTTCTGCTAAGCAAAAATGGCCTCATTTGGTGCCCTTGACCTCATTTGACTCTCTCTAATAATCCCCATTTGGTGCACTTCTATCATACAAATACTTCTGCAAGTGATAATGAACTTTCTTAACAAAATTCCTTGACAAGTTAGGTTGTCCAGCTGTAAGACCTGCACTCTGAGGGAGGTTTGCTTTGGTAACCTCAGATTCAGTGGCTGACAGCCGTCCACCCTTTAGGTTACAAAGCAGTGAATTGTTTTGTTGGTGTCCAAAGCTAAAAGAAGAGTGTGCAATTTAGGAATGTTTCACAGATGGAAAAGTTACTCCTGAAAACCAGGGATTCCACATCTGTCATACTATTGCCTTGGGATTGCAAAGGAGCATTATCAAAATACAGAAAAGGTGGAGTGGAGGGCCCAGCAGCAAAGGAGAGCATAGGTAATTATTTTAAAGTGCCACTAAATATAGGCAAGGAAAAGAATATAAGAATACAGTG